ATTCGCAACTTTATATGTAACTGACTGACTATATTATGTGTGTTTGTTTGTTAATGCTACATTATATAACTAAATATAAAAGTTGGGCGTATTTGGATGTTTAGAATATAGATATACTATACAGTATACTGGAGTAGTAAATAGATTACTTTTAGGCACTTTAGAGACGCATTCTATACTTTACACGTTTTGGATACCCAACGGTACTTTTAATTAGAAACAAATTCATCTCATTTATTTACCACTAGATTTTGCCCGCGGCTTCGCTCGCGTAATAAGCGGGAGATCGAAAATAGTTTATGTCCGATCCCAGTGTACAATCTACGAGTATGTCGGAATTTTTATCGAAATGTGTTCAGTGGTTTTAGGTAACAGACAGGGTTACTTTCTTATCTATAATATTAGTATGGATTAACCGAATGCTTATTATTATTAAGTAATCGATTATAAATATTTTAATTGATTGCGAACCTCGTTTTAATCGTGTTTGTGTAAAATATAAATCTTACCATTTAGGTAAGATTTACACAAATACGACTTTACAATATGTTAATTATAAAAGAAGTGCAGCTTTATATTTGATAGAATTTTAAAACATTGTCATTCTAAATAATTGTAAATCATAATTACAATGATTATATTATCAAAATAACAAACTTTATTGTAATATGTCTTTATTTACACAAATGGAATGGTTATAATCTATATAATATAAATAGGCAAAGACAGACAAAAAGAGACAGTTTAGTACCTTTTTCTCCTCTGATTGTCAATCGTTTTTTTTTTGTTTAATAGCTAACGAAGAGCTTTTAATGTTATCAAGAAAATTTTTGGGAAACAGTTACTTTTTGAAGTTATACCTACTTCTTTTAGGACGTTTGGAAAAAAAATGAGAGTAAAATTTTCCACAGCCAAAAAGCGACATGATGAAGTTAGCTGATAACTATTTGTTGCCATGGTAACCGTTGTTATTGTCTGACAAATGATATATAATATTATACTCTTTCCTTAAATGATATTCTATATATATATATATATATATATATATATATATTATATATATATATATATATATATGATTATAACATGCCTAATATGCCTTATTTAATTATTTTTATTAATTTATCATTCCCTTTACAAACAGAGAGTTGTGTCATACGAGATGAAATCTTTAGCTATTTTTGTTCTGTTACGGCAAAGAAGTATAACTTCTTACGTGTGTACATAAGTACACACATACTTTTTTTATATAGATAGATATAGAGAGAGGTAAACTCTATTTATATAGGTACATATATTTTCCTCAAATTGTTGATAATGATTGTGGTCATAATTCAACCACTAGTTTGACTAATAAACTAAGAGAATTATAATACCTAATTATCATTGTTGTTCTGTTATCCCGCTATTGGATAGGATAGCTAGCTAGCTTGAACATGTTAAAGCCGAGAATTTTCTATTACTATAGAAAATCATAAAAACACCATAATTTATATCACCTGCACGCCAAGATATGCAAATTCCGAGATGTACCTACATTTTACACAATTTCTTCGAACTGCGGCAGTGGGAGTTATTTTATTCATTGTTTACGTTGTACGTAAAACCGGTCATTGAATTGGGGTTATCTCTTGTACTAATTTCATTTGGGATATTTTGAATGGATTTCATAAGAAAGTGCGTCATCGAGTCAAAGTTACATAAATATATACATTGGCTGCTTTTTATTATATGGATCGCATCCCGGGAGCATTGGGCTATATTTTTAAATACGGGTCATGGGGTGTCTGTAGAAATAAAGAACACAGGAATTATAAATCCCATACATTTCTGTGAATTTCCTATAATTTGACTCCTCCGATACTTTATATATTTTTTAAAACGTTATATTTTTCAATAGGTACTTTATTTATAAGATAAAACTTTGGTTAAATATCACACACACACCCATGACTGGAATACAAACATTAGTGAGTAAAATAAAAGGATACACTAATATTTCTTTTTTAGGAACTTTAGATCAGAAAAAATAAAAAGTTAAACCTTTGCAAAATTAAACTACTTATTTTTGAACGAACAGGTTATTATATTTACAATTTACATCTATTTATAATATGTATGTATGTATTTGAAGTTATATATATGTAGTGTATCAATTATCTGGTATCCATAACACAAGCCTCGTAGCTTACCATGGAACTAGATGGTGCTGTGTATGAATGTCCCAACATATTTTTTTTTTATTTCTTAAAAATATTTCTTACTAGCGGTAGTGACTCACCCTCGCTGCGCTCGGGTTCGTCCCTGGATTGATTCCCCATACAAACTTTCATCCCCATTGTCACACCCTTAAAGGATGATTTCTGGAATAAAAAATATCCTATGTCCATCCCAGGGTCTCAAACAATCTTCAATCTAAATCGGTTTAGGAGATCCAGAGATTACCCCCTACAACCTCACAAACTTTCTTTATAATATAAGTATAGATTAAAGTAGCTCTATCTAATCTACAAGTTACAACGTGCATCAGATACAAGGAATTACCCAAAATAATATATAAAATCTGCTCGTAATCTATACATATAATAAAATTGTAACTAAGCCGAATCTGTACATTAAATATTTTTTGGAAAACCTTATTGAAATAAACATTATTATCGATACAGAGGCCGATCTATAGTTTTTAGAATTTTTGGCTGTCTGTCTGTCTGTTACCGCATCACAGAAAAACCACTGGAGGGATTTTGATATATGGTGATAGCTGGTTATCCGGGTCAACATATAGGATACTTTTTACCGCGGGAAAATGTCTCATTTATGAGAAAAAATACAAAAACTGCATGGTAAGAGTACCTATACTAAATGTGAAACCTAAGAATTTGGTTTTTGGTCATCTGAACGCGGGTGGAGCCGCGGGCAATGCTAGTCCGTTATAAAATAATTCCAAAGTCACCTTAACAGTCTTTAATTTTTTATAACTTGACCTTTTTATATCACAGTAGGTATACTAGTATTCCCCCCCAACGTGCGTTCACCTTGTCGTGGTAAAAAAAAAGGTATACTAGTATTGAATTTCCACTTTCCACATACATTTTGATGTATGACACCACAGACAGATTTTGATGTAATTTTTTATGATGATAGCTGGTTATCCGGGTCAACATAGTCATAGAACCCTCGTTCCGCTCGGGTTCGTCCCTGATTACGTTTAAAAGTTAAGTATAGATTTCTCAGAGATGAGATATTTTCCCGCAATAAAAATTATCTTATTTATCCAGGATATTACCAGCTTCATCATACCAAATTTCATCAAAATCTGTCAGTAGTTTTCTCGTAATGCGTTCCCAGACAGAGAGACGAACAGACAGGCACCCAGACAAAAATTCTCAAAACTATAGATTCGGTCGCTGTACAATCCAATGTTGTCCTTGGGAGTAGGGTTGTCTCTGTATCGATAATAATGACTATTTCAATAAGATTTTCCAGAAAAATATTTAATGTACAGATTCGACTCAGTTTAAATTTTATTATATGTATAGAAGAGAGAATTATTCACTTGGAAATGGAAATGGAAAAGGTAATAAAAATATATAGGTACGTGTTCATTCACACAATTTTATTACAAAAATATCTGATTACATTCCACATCAACAATAGTATATCACAGATCAAAATAAAATACATTGAATAATTTAACAAATCGAAATGTTTGAATATATGTATAATTTTTCACGAAGAACAACAATTAAGGTTATTAAAAACTATAACTACAATACGTTTATTGGTGCCTATTTTTCACTAAGCCAGTGTCCCATATTTTTAGATTTGAGAGCATTAACATGTTGTTATATCTACATATAAGATTCATTTATTTTACAAAATATTAAAACTTTATGTTAAGAAAACAATTATAAAAAAATAATATTCAGCTTCATGAACTATGCTAGATTCTCTAAACAAAGACCTAAGAAATCATTTGAGCCCTCTTCAAAGTCATGGCTATACAATGGTGTACCAATGACCATGGCCAATACAAGTCACGTTATCACGTGAAAATCGAATCTGAGACTTTGAAACAGAATCCAATCACAAATTGTGCCATATAGATGAATCCTAATTCCTGCCACTACATTTATCTAATGATCTTATATACTAAAATTGTACATTAAGGTACTAACACTACAACAATAATAAATTAAGTAAAGACAATTGATTGTCAAAATTGTTAAACAATACTCTATGAATAGAAAATAATGCTTATGCATACACATACACGATCGATGTTATCATCTAAGTCACACTTCAACAATATATTAAATTACAATTCTCAGAATTTATAGATAAAACAGTTAAAGCTGATATATTTTATCTTGTTCCTAATAAAAATGATGTGTGATACAAACAAGGAGTGTCTACCATTAATCCGAGTTATGTTTTTAAACAAAATATTTGGGGAACAAGTGTGAAATAACTTATCTAGTCATTGTAAACTATAGTAAAATGTTATACTAATTAGGTATATTTTTGAATATATTTTGGAAAAAAATCTATTTTAATACACAGTATATTTTTTAACTTCATAACATATACGGTGCTGATGATTTATCTTAGAATTCTAAACGAATTACGACAAATTGGTAAGGAAAGTAAGCTTAGGTAAACACCTAAAACATAAATTAGCAATTCAAATAAGAAACGTATATCGACAAACAACTGTGTATCTTTGTATTTGTTATATTTAAAACTTACTTCAAGCTCTTATCACCTCTAATAAATACACGAACATTTACTTATTACTAACAAAACAATGCCTCTATTTAAACGTAACGTCAACATAATAAACTCATCACCGATCCTACAATCTTCCATACAACTACCAGGCTTGATAGACATGCAGATAGCAGATCACTTCATACACTTAAAACAATGACATTCTGGAATAAAATTGAAAACCATAACGGCCAAAACTTTTCCATATAAATATTTTTATGAGAACATCAATGCTCATCACTTTCTTGTAACACCGGCAGTCTGAGCTGTCGTCTTTGCCGGCGTTTTTTGCCGACCAGTTTGGTTTTAAACTCGATTGTGTACTCTTTATCTTCAGGAAGCGTTGGTAAATTACGCTTAGGACGTCTCGGAATAATGCATTCCATAGTTAAAGTTAGGTCTTTGCACCTCAGATTGTCAACGTCAGGATACATGTGGGCGATTTTCACAAGCATCGCGGCGGGCGTTCGGTTCTACGATAGGAAACAGACTGATGTATATTGTATACGAAACGTTACGAGTTACGAGTTACGACTCAATTATTTTTAGATCGATGCATACATTGTTTTTGTATAGGCAACTGGCTCGGGATCGACGCCAAATGCGTTGCCCATTTTGAAGGTTACACTATTTTCTTTTAAGCTTTTTAATCGGAAGTAGGTTAGAACATAGTGCGTTTGCAAAATGGCGCGAAAATATTTTCTTTTATCTCTTCAAGAAATCAGTGCAGTATGTTGTGCTCAAATACCGATTTAATTGTGCTATTGACTTGGCTTAAATGTTTTAATAATATAAATATTCTATTATTAATTGTAGTGGAAACTTCTTTAGGAAAGTTGGGCACTTTTGGGATGGAAATATATATATTATAAAAATAAATACACAAGAATATGGGGGTCATCCTTACCGCGAGATGTACATACATACTCGTATGTATGTCTCCGATTGCATAATACTATATTCCTTCGTGAACTTGTTTTCGTCTTTTTAGTTAACTTTTATGCAGTCAGGTTTTTTATGTTAATAAAAATAATTTCTAATAAAAAAATACTTCCTAAAAATATTTCTTAACAACTCAAAACGAATGTTTACAAGTTTGTGAACAGTTTTTTCTTTTTTTTTCTTTATCATTTCATGGCTGTAGTGTATTTTTTTATTTTTTTATATTTAACAAAAAACTTTTTATTGAGAGACTAATTTAAAAACTAATATGTGATTTCGCTTCTTTACTGCTTACTGATTACTTGAATTTTCATCACTGAGGCATTTCAAAATTTTATACCTAGGTATTAAGATTATTTCAGGCTGAAAATTTTCCAAAACGAAAAATATTAAGACTATTGAGTATACCACGAATTATTCTCAATTATTTAGTCTTCAGACTGAAATTAGCCTTTTAGGCTTTTACGCTATCTATAAGGGCGATATTATAGTGCACTAGTGTGTACGATAACACACGTACATTGTCTCTTTCATAACTCACATAGTTCAATGGGACGCAAAGCTGAAACGATCGATGAGAGATAACAGCACGCGGCTGTACGTGCTCTTCAATGCTCCAGAATGTAATACAAATCATAATTTATCATAATTTGAGGATAATATGAGAATTTCTTGATAGAAAACTCATTCATTATTAAAACTCGACCTGAAATTAAAATCCAGGTACCTATGATAAGTAGCCATGTAAGGTATCAAATTTTGGGAGTTATAAGAGTCGGGAGAGGAATCGTATAACGTAATAATCTGTACTACTATTATAAAGAGGCAGAGTTTGTTCGTTTGTTTGTTTGTTTCTTTGAACGCGCTAATCTCAGGAATTACTAATCCTATTTTAAAAAATTATTTTTGCATTAGATAGGCCGTTTATTGAGGAAGCCTATAGGCTATATATTATCATGTTTATAATATGTATGTTTAAGTGATTTAAGCTCAGACACAACTGAGTCCATTTCAAAAATGCCTTTGCATAGAGGCAAAGAGTTTTTTTCGCTAGTTTAGCGCGAGCGAAGCCACGGGTTCTGCTAGTAGTTTAATAATCATTACATATATTTTTTCTTTTGTTTTCAAAATACTAAATAGATTCATTGTAATCTGTCAGCTTCTATCTTTAGACATTTATTATTCAAAATATAATACTAGGTAATCAGAGAATATTTTCTCGTTAATGCTATGAAATCAAATGAAATGGAATAACCAAACGCAATTTCCTGAATATACGACCTTATCAGAACACCTACATAGAGTTGAACAAATTGAAGGCAATTTGCTAGTGTTACCCAAATGTAATGTGAATGCCATTATAGCATTTAAAGCTTAAATATTCACAATATCGATACCGTGATAATTTGGAGATGCGCCGAATGCTCGGCCGAAAATTCGTATTTTGTGTGTTTGCTTTTTTTTGTGTTCGTATTTCGGTCGAATATTCGGTTAAAATGCCGAATAATTACCGAATATTTTAGTGGTATTAAGTGAAGATTTATAATTACATATTTTAATAATTAAAAACGGGTTTTACAAAAGAAATACATAGTATGTGTAAATGAAAAAAGCACTAGCTTGCAACCTTGTAACCATCACTTGTAGACATAATTAAAATAATATTAATATTTAAGACACAACAAAATTAAGTTTTTAATATACTGACATCAACATTTGTTTTCCAACAAAGAAAAGTTTTATGAATAAAATTTACCATTCTATAAAATCAACAATTTTAAAGTAGCTATTACAAACAATTAAAATAATTAAAATTAACATAACTCAAGAGTTGAAAATCTATGTTAATTTTAAAACAAAATTTGCAAAAACAAATACTGGTAGCTGAAATCAACAAGTTATATAAAATCTTTTAATTATAATGTAATTTAAAATAGTCGAGTATTCAGCAATCAACATAAACACACAGAGCTTTAATGAAAGTACCTAGTGTTTTCTCAAGATAACAAACATAATTAATATTTAAAATTTAGTGGTAAATTATGATGTAGAAAAAGTAGGCCTGTGAGGTAACAATCATATATTTTTTCTTCGTAAATATTGCCTGCTTCTGAAAATAGTCGTTTATCGCTATAAACAGAGATAGCCGGAGAGGATAAGAAAGTTCTGCCTAAAATAGCCGTGTGTTCATATTATTTTCCTTAATTTTTTTAACCACCATGTAAAAAGAATTCAAATGGCGTTGTAATAAATTCTCAGTCAAATATTTTTGTAATTCTAAAGGTATTTTGGCTTTCATTACTAGCATTTTCTTCGCAAATTGCTGGCTGCTTGGTGGAAACTAATCCAACAACAACTCCAAAAACCTGAATCATGTGTTTCCACATTTGTCATATTTCCTACTGGAATTTTTTTTCTTCCTTTTTACTGCTGTCTAAGGAGTCACTCTTTCGGATATGTTCTCTGAAGAATGTTTTTTTTATAGATTTAGATTTCTCTGTAGAGAAAAATTTAACCGGAATTTTGTCTTCCTGTATTTTTTCAAATCTGTGCTTCGGTTCTATTTCTAATGTCCTTCGCATTTCATTAGTTAGGGTACGCTTGTTTAGTGTCATCTTATGTAAATATTTTAAAAGTATCGTAATGTGAGGTATTACTTCAGATATTGATGAAAAAGTATAACTTGTCAGCATTACTTCTTCGAAAGGTCGCAGTAGGTACAATACCTCATTCAAAATTTGCCACTCTGTTAGATTTTTTAAATTTACTGCAACAGAAATGCCGATATGTATAAACACGCTTACTACGTAAAAGTGAACCTAATAATTCGGTCGAATATTTGGTTCGGTACATTTTTGTATTCATTTGAACCCATATTCGGCGCATCCCTAATCGATATCTTATCCAGAATAAATCGAATATTTTTAAATATCTTGCGTCAAAATTCATAAATGTTACAGTAAAACTATGTATGAAATATGTGATACTCTTACAAAACTGGTGACGTCATTCACGCTCGAGACACATCATCACTCGTAAAACTAGGAGATGCGGAGTGCTGAAATATAGGACACGATGTAGTGCAATAAACATACATAAGTCATGGCGTGTGTTACATTAAATAAAATTAAAATAAGTTATGTATAAATATTTTAAGCTACTATTATAAGTGGCGAAGATTTGTATAAGTACGTGTCTGTATGCTTGCTACTCCTTCACGCTTAAGCGGCTGAACGGATTTGGATGAAATTTAGTACACAGATAGACTATGACCTTTTTTTTAATGGAAAAAAAGGAAATGCATTTACGCATACCACCTGTAACATACAGGTAGTTATCTGGGACTCATCGGCTCGAAAAGCCAGTACTACCCACTTAAACCCTTTTTTTTATCGTCGGGAAATGCATTTACGCATACCACCTGATCCCCCAGGTGGTGATGTGGGGCTCACCGGCTAGAAGAGCCGGTACTACCCACTAAAACCCGACATCCCTTCCCCCCGCCTTAGTGGGACGCCGCAGGATCGCTTGCGCATAACTACTACGGCGCCCCGGCGGCACGTCTGCGTAGACGCTAGGCAGACCACCAAACCAATGGGACTGCTCCACAGTCAACTCTGCTACGCCAGAGAGGTACCCGGAGCAGCCCCATTAAACCTAACCACCGCCCACCGAAGTGGTCTACCTCCAATCGGCTGCAGAGGACAGGGAGAGCGGCAACGAAACACCGACACTGCTCTTCCCCTGCAGCCCCACCGCGTCCGCCATCAAACGGTGGCGGCCCCGTCTAGGCCGCGGAAGGTAGGGAGAACGGCGCACCGAAATACCGGTACTCCTCTCCCGGCTTCTCCCCCGGGACCCACTAAAACCCTACGTATCTCCCCTTACTTAATAGGGTGTCGCAGGAACGCTTACGCACTATAGACTACTAGAGTAACCCATAGGCTACTATTACTAACTACTAAGCATCAGGCACCCAGGGACGCTCGCGAGAAGGCGCTAGTTCGATACATAATCATTTGATTTAACCTCAATTTTAATTTAGCACTAAACGTGTATGTATACTGCTTAGCCAACGTCAAATTGTACTGTCAGAAGCCGAAGACAAGACATGTTCCGAAACAGAGCTTCCTCAATACCTTGGCATTTGTTATAACATAGACATTTCTTATAATCCCTGTTGATAAACAACTAAACTCTTCTGCCATCTATCGTCTAAAGATAGAACGATGTCAAAAACCATTTGTAAATAAATCAATAGTTTAAGAGTCGTTACAAACTGACAAATATATTTTTTATAAGTATATGTAGATCATAAAAATGTAAATACGCGCTCAGAACGCGTTTTTTTAACGCTATAATTTAAAAGCCGAAATCAGACATAAATACAGTCCTTTTATCTTATTTACGTAATCAAAATAAGCGCTAGTCTGCTCTATTTCAAGTGTGAATCACTGAATAAACCGTTTCACGTCTGACTGCTGAAAGTTAAGACCAATAAAGCAATTGGACG